TTAAATGTTGATAAAAAAGAAAATAATAATAAAAAAAGATATATACACTGCCCAATGCCTGCATCTTTCTTTATGTGGCTCACAAATTCTCACATTATATGATAAAAAGGTGTTCTTATATGAAACAAACTGGGGTTATAAAGCAAGAAAATCTAACTGGATGACTCCTGTGCAACTGATTCCCTAAAAATTGGTTAAATAAATTGGATATATATATATATATATCACTCTCGTCACTGTCACGCAAAAACCTTGTAATTTTTTTTTTGCATAATTTAAAAAACTCCTTTTTCATTGTCTTACAATTACATGATGAATGGGTCAATAAAAATAACCCAAAACTACTTTTAAAAAAATCTGGTTACATTAACTTCTATTACAAAATATGTGTGCATTTTTTATAAGGCTCTCAAATTATCTCATTATATAAGAAAATTTGTGTTCATATGTGTGGGAAAAAAATTGAGAAACACTTACTGAATCACTCCTGTGCGACCGATTCCCTCAAACTTACTTAAATAAATTTTTAAAAAACTAAAATAAAACAAAAATAAAAAGTGCACAAATGCCGCAAAATGCCTGCATCATTTTATGTGGCTCCCATTATATAAGAAAATCTTAAAAACCTTTGGTTATTAGGCAGCTACCACTGGAGGGCAGTCAGCCTTCAAAATGCGCATCCACCCCGAGGGCATGTTGTACCCCTAACAAAAGCCTTGGCAGCCCTCTTTGTTATAGCATACTGTGAAGACAACATTAGCAGAGCGTCTGAGAATTGATAAAAGGATTAACTTTGGCAGAACATTCCTTTTAATACTCTGTCTTAATCTATGACCAAAAGAGACAAACCACACAGAGATCCCTGCTTCCATCTGTAAATAACTACAGTAGCTAAACACATGCAATCAGACCAGCTTTGTTCATTTTAGCACAGCACAACAAAAATCCTCTGGCTCACTGTAAAGCTTATAGGATATATGAATGCTGTTAAAAGCAGACACACACAATACAGTAAAACAATAACCGAGAAAGGGGGGGTTATTTCAGTTAGCAAATACCCGCTCCTAATAATTAAAAGGGTGCCAGCCCCTCCCCCTCCCTGCTTTGCAAACAAAGGTTGTGAAAATGATCCATTACCCAACTGCCCCTCTACCAAGTGCCCCCTCCCCTCAATCCCCTCGTCACACCGGCTCAGACATGTGGCCCACCTCCCTGGGCCTGCACATGTGCCCCCCACAGAGTGCTAGCACAAAGGAGACTCACCCCTCCCTCCCTCTCTGTCTCCCTCTCAGCCTCCCCTCCTCTTCCACCCAATCTCTTTAATTACTCAGATAAGATGGCTCCTCCAACAAATGCACTAATCCAGCATTACATGCCTACCTATCAGCTCTGTTATTCCACAATCCAAGTCTATATATATATATATATATATATAGATAGATAGTGATAATATAAGAGTAGAATTTATAATTTATATATCACCAGTAGAACCGTGTGTGTATATATCACAATTCTACTAGTGATATATAAATGATAAATTCTACTCTTATATTATCACTGTTTCCTTTTTTCTCACAGAAGCTGTCATTTACATTGTCTGGACAATTTATGACAAGTGAAAATCTTGTTATACGATTGTATGCAATAGTTTAAGCTCCCTTCCCTCTACTTCATATTCAATTTTAGCGCACAATCTCTATTTGCTGAGTTTAACATATTAGGGGAAAAAACAAAACATGAAAATAAAAAAGTAGACAGGTCCATTCTTCTCTGACCAAGCAGCAGCACGTCTACACCTGGAAGATCTTTACAGATCCTACCATCATACAAATTGATCATATGTTGTCATATGCAAACATTTGAACACCTCAAGGCAAATGACGTTTTGTTGATTTTAGTGAAAATAAGTTAACACATCCTCTACAGGAAATATTTTTTTTGCAAAATTTCTATTTATTTGCTGAATTAAATATACTGTAAAAGTAAAACATAAAATATGTGTCCTAACTTCTGTACAGGACATACGTTATTTTTTGTTAGCAAATAAACAGTAATTGTACACAAGTGTTCTCTACAGAGAACATGTTTTCACTTAGAAAATCAACAGAACAGGCCATTTGACTAGGGGTGCCCCAACTTTTTATACACCTACATACGTTCTTTCTCGCTCCTGAAAAGTTACCATTTTACACTTTTTATTGTGGTAGCTGGGATGAATACATAAAGTAAGGATTTCGTGGTACAGGGCAATTTGATTTTCCTTGTGGACATGACAAAGACTTGAATCTAAAATAAGTTGTGAAGATATTTGTTAATCCAAGTAGCATTGAAATTTACAAAATTGATGACTGCGTTGTACAACACAATGTGAAACTCAAACTAGCTGATTAATGTATTTTCAGTTAAACATCATTTTTATCACTGAGACAAGTCTGGTAACATGTAACAGCAGCCACATTAACTAAGAACAAAATTAATGGGGAATTCATCAGTCTTCAAAATTTCTGCATAATTCAGTTACTGAGATGTAAATATCATTGTAGAGGAACAATAAACCTTAATTTTTGTTTTTTTTTGTGTTTTGTATATAAATGTAATAGCATCAAACCACAAATGACTTTGTTTACATCTTCACAATTTAATTACGTAGAAATTTTAATTCTAAGTTTAAACTTTAGCTGTTTTTAGGACTCTTTTTGGGTAAATTTCATGAAGTAAATGTGATCAAATCACTGAAATACTTAGAACAACTTGCTTTCACAGATACTCTGGTGATGGTGTTTGTATTTCCTTAAATGTTTAATCTCTGCCTTTTCATGGTACTGACTGTTACACTGCATCAACTTCAAATTCACTAAAACCATTTCCTTTTATCTACACACTGTATTTTTATCAGCTAGTCTTTGAGAAATGCAAAACAGTGAGCAGTATGATTGCACTTTATTTGTTTAGGGCTGTTTAGTGACAGGAAAGAGAGCCACACAGGGCAGGAATCTCCTTCATTGTCTTTAGACCAGCACATGGGGGGTGGGGGGGGTGGGGGGGGGGCACTGGTATTTAAGGGCGGTGCTAAATGGAGGAGCACCCTCCTCCCCTCAAAGCTTTTCATGTGCAATGAGTCCAGACATTCATATTAAACAACCCTTGAGCTATGCAAATTCACCACTTTCAGTACACAGCACAGCATGCCAGTTAAACAAAGACATTTCAATTACTTATGCTTATTTTTTTTATTTTTTTCACAAATTATATCAAAATTACAAGTTATCCCCCATCCTCACAAGCTTCTTTCTCCTCCTACACAAAATTAGGCTTTTAAATAAAACCATAGACCACTGAATGAGCTCTTTCAATACTCACTGGTCTACTAAACTTCTAGAGATTTAGGAGACATTGGTTGCAATGTGCAACATTTTCTTGGTGGAAAATAAAAATCACTGCCTTTCAGCAGTAATATCTTGTTATACAAACGCTAATGCTAAATTAGGGAAAAAAAATAAAAAAATCAGTGAAGTAGTGGTTAAAAAAAAAAGTTGTCTAAAGTAACAGATGAAACTAATGGTTACATATTGCACACACAGAGGCTTCACTTTACAATGAACTGAAATACAAAACAGTGCGTATATCTGTTACAGTGAACATGTTGCATCTACCTACATAAAACAGGGGACTTCAACATAAAAGACATAAAAGGAGGAATAAAACATTTTGGAAATAAAAACAATACTGGACTCTGTGACCAATCAGAAAGAATGTATTCAAATAATAAAAGTCCTGCAGAATCAGCACAAAAAAAATTGGCATACGTTGAGGTAGTTCAAAGTTCAGGACTATCTGAGGATGATTTTGATCCAAAGTCCAGTAAAGTGGTTAAAAAGCTTATTTAGCAGGACATAAAGCAGACACTTTGGTCTTGCTGCTGGTTAACAACACACTGTGCAGTCGACATCCCTGTAAAATTCACCAAAACCTGAGAGAAATGGGTTTAATGTTAGTCTAATCTTCAGTGTCGATCACATCAATGCCATGAAAACTAAGGTTGAGTGCTGCAGTCTGCTTTATGAAAATCCTGCATCACTTAGAGTTGGTCATCAAAGCAAAATATCCTAATGTTACACTTTCTGTGTCCTATTTTCACAACACAAAAGAATTTGGAATGACAACGTTCCATGAAATGAGAACGTTCCATGAAAAAAGAATGTTACAGAACTTGCCTTTTCAGTTGTCTCAGCTCATCAAAGTGTCACCAAGTTCCACAGATATCCATGTATGAGCAACCAGAACTCCCCAAAAAAGACAAAAACTATCAGTAGTATGGACTATGGAACCTTACAACATTTTATACTCTGCTCAACATGATAAATGTGTTCTAGCCACCACTTCCTATAAGTTACAAGCAAGTGTGAATGGACAATGACTGTCTGAAGTCACAGCAGCCGTGTGAGGTAATTTGCATGGACCACAGTGACTAAAAGGATGAGGTAAAAGACAATGAAGACATCTTTCAACTGTAGTGAGCTTAACACGGATGAATCAAGGCTTTCTCCCCCGTGGGCAAGAAACCTGAAAAGCTCAGCTTCCTGCAGCATGAGCTACAGAGAAGATAGGACAGATGCCTCTATTCCCTGGGGTTTTCCCCCTCCATCTGCCTGCAGGAAAACCAGAGGGACAGGGCCGTGAGCCAAGAGCGGCACAGTGTAATATCAACATTCTCTACAGACATTTTCACCTTTAAAGCAGATCAAAAGAGAGAGAAAAAAGGAACACATTTACAAATTAACCGCTTCATACAAACATCGGCTGTTTCAATGGCATTGTTACTTTTTTCCTTTCAAGTAGTCTGTGCATCCCTGATATGTGGTTGTCACTGTAAACAATACCAAAAAGGGAGACAGGTTTCTTGGTCATAAAGCCATCATTTCATTTTAAGGCAGCAGCATCAAAGGACGACACAGTAAATCCAGTGTGAAATTTCAGGACTTCTTAATTTTTCCAAGGCAATCTGGATCATCACTGTTTCTATTCTTAAGGCTTTGTATGGATATAAAATGCTCCAGTGGGACATTTTCAAATGTCTAACAGTCAAATATCTGGTGCTGGAATTCTTTTTTTTCTCCCTATTTTCTCCATGTAGGTCTTGTAGAAAATTCATAATGTGTTATTTTAGAGTCACCAAAGTCTTCAGTCTTTCCAATCAAGAAGCTTCTTTCTCAAATGCCTGGAGAAACAGACACTTGCATGTGGGAAAAAAAGAAAACAAAAAAGAAACTTCACACGAGAGCCTGTTTTAAGTTAATACTATGACCTCTGCGGGGTCCGCTCGGCTGCGCGTTTTCTGTTTGGAAAGTCTGCGCCTCTGGCTAAGCCGGAGTCCCTCAAAGCCTGTGCCAGGGGCCGTGGTGGTGGAGGAAGAAGAGAGGGCAGACGACAGTGGACGGGCCGAGTTCAGTCTGTCCTCCCTCTCCTGGCGTCACCTGTCGAAGCAGCTGGCCGTGAAGGTGTGGTGGGATCCCAGGTAGCCGTTGCTGTAGGCCAGGCCCACACAGTGACGAGGCTCAGCCCCCACACCCACCTGCATGGAGAGAGGGCCCTGCAGGGGCAGGCCGCACAGCCCTGACGCCAGGCTGGGGAAGGATGGGAAGGAGCTGGCCGGCAAAGAGGCGGACAGCAGGCTGGAATGGTGTGGCTGGAGGTAGTCCCGCGAGCCCACAGGGCCCAGCGCCTGGCACTCAGCCAACATGTGCAGCTGAGACAGAGCAGGGGAGTGCTGCGAGAGCTGCGGGTAAGCGCCCGCCTGCAGTAGCAGCTGCTGTGAACTGGAGGCTGGCTGCCTCTGCAGCGACGAGGCGGCCGGACTAGGGGAGGCATGGGCCTGCGTCTGCAGACTCACCTGGCCATGTGAGGGGGATGATTTAGATTTGTTGGCTTCTTTCACATCATTGTCATGTGCACTGTAAGAATACAGAACAATTATTCTACTATACATTTTATTCTTACGTTAAAGGAATCAATCTCCGACCTCATACGATTATATTATAAGTAAACAATGTGGTGCAAAAATTTCATTTGAAAAAAGCCAATTTTTTTCATTTTGGCCGTACAAAATGACCACTTAGCTAGTGGGGCTAAGCCCCCCCCCCCCAAAAAAAAGCATCAAAATATGGTTTCATTTTTGGCATCCATATCATTTTACAGCAGTTAATAAAGGACTAGAAGCTGACTATTTTTGGACTTCTGTGGACGCAAGAGCAACAGCACCACCAAAAGGTTGTAAGAAAAACATAAAAAGACAAAGATGAGGCTGATGCGCATCTAGCCCAAGCTTTAGATTCACAGTTTATCTGAACATACATTCAGGTAAGATATATAAGATAATTTGTTAAATTGCTTTTTTACAATTCACAATTTGAACTTGGATCTTGTCATGTTCTGTTCATGCTGTTGGCTTGCCATAGCTTCTAGTTAAATGGTACACAACAACATTTACACATTTAAGTGTGTCCAGTAGCTGGCTAGACATCTTATTTCATTGATTTATTGTTGTAGCTGGGAAGGAGCACTCAAATGTGATGCTATTGACAGGTGTTTTTTTTTTTTAGCACTGCAATCCAAAATGAGCAGCAGTTATTGTATTTCACTGAACATCATAATAACAGATTAGAAATATTACCCAAAAAAAAAAAAAATAAATAATCAAAATCACCACCTTCCCACTGATGCATCATGATGAACTAATGCGCTTTTACATCACTAACATTTACACGTGTTTAAAATCCTGATCTTGATTTAACCCCCCAAAATGCGTGTAAATGGCGGCATACACTTACAGCAGCATGAGCTGGATGCACTGGGTCAGGTGGTCCCAGGAATAGCCCGTGAGCAGGTGGAGCACTGTGGTCCAACTGGGAGAGATCTGCAGGCAGATGCGAGAGGCTGCAATGCAGGCTGCTGCCACCTGAGAGGGTCTAAAGCTCAGAAAAGCATGGTCTGGAAAAAAGATGCATTTATTCAGTCTGAGAAAACAACACTCACTGGCCTTTTTCAGCAGCAGGTTATCTATTTCATCAGCAGTTAAATGATTAAACTGAAATAAGTTACACCCTTCTCAAAAAATAAATAAATATGTACATTTGTAATATTAATAAACATTAAGGTATAAATGACTATAAACATACATTTAGATTTTATTATTATTTTACTAATTACATAATGAAGTATTTTACTAATTAGACAAACACTACTTTTGCTTATAGTACTCAATCACAGTTTCTCTCTGAAATTCACCTTGCAGGGAGACTTCCAGGAAGTAGTGTGTGTATTTGTCCATAAAGGCTTTGGTCTTGGACAGTGAGGTCAGGGGCCAGCCATTATGCAGATCTCCTTCCTGCACGGCCGCGTGGAGGTAATAGTCGATGAAGTGAGCAGGCGTGGGCATGCACAGGTTCCAGCCAAAAGTCTCCAGCAGCAGCAGCTCCATTTTGATAAGGTCACGCTTGTTGAGAGCCAGGTTCAGACTGCACATGAAGCCCAGAGTGTTCAGCTGTTCCAGCTTGGGCACGCGGTCCTCTTTCTCTTCAAACTTACCTACAGGCAGATAATGGGAAAAAGAGAGACTTAACAACTGAGCAGAAAGACACATTTCTTTCTGAGACTGCAGAGAGAGTGTAGAATATGTATTCAGAACAAATTTTAAAAAGTGATGTGCAGAGCTCCATGATATGGTTAAAAAAAAAAAACTGATACTGTGATCACATTGTGATTATATTACTACATATTGCAATTGCAATGTGTCTTTCAGTATATCACAAATACACATCACTGCTGTCCAAAGAAAAACATCTATCTTCGATTTTTAGTTTTCTGCATCATTTGAACACAATGGTTGTCCTTTATATCATGTGAAAATTTCATTATGAATGGACCAATAGCAGTGCTCTAAAATGAACTGGAATGAAATATTTATGTATGTGTGAATCAATGAACTGATATGGCTAAATATTGATGTGCTCTTGATCAAAATTATTTTGTGGAACAACGTGATTCATCAAAGCACCCACACAATCTGGAACTGTGATTGGTCAAGATGCAAGATGTTAAGAAACACTGTGATTGGTTAAAGCAGGGGTTCTCAAATGCAGTTCTGGGGTCATTACATAAAACATTTGATGTGAATTTTGTTGAACATTTCAAATTGCTGTTTAATTTATTATTTATTATAGTCGGGAAAAGCAGAAACTTTCAGAAATGCTGGGCAGCTGTGTTTCTGCATTTTATTCATTTTTCTACATTTGAGGAAGTGTTACATTTCTCTGTAATGCTAACCAAGGTAGATGGAGTCCCAGTGTCTACATTTTGTAAATGTACATGTAAAATATCAAATATCTGCATCAGTCGACAGTTCCCATATCAAGTCAAGTTTTTTTATGCAATGGTCATTTTTGAGTAGCAAAAACAAGATGTGCACAGTATGGAGTCCCTGGGACTGAACCACTGAGAGGGCTCATTTGCATAAAGCCCAATGTCATAAAAATCACTGGGCAATCCTTGATTGTAATATGCTTTTTAACTACAATAAATCAAGCGAAAAAAGAAATAAAAAAAAAATCATGAACACTTCCTCCATAACCGATCAGACTACAAGTAAGTTACATTGTGCAGACAAAGCACAAAACAAAAACATCCCTAAATACTATGCAACAAAATTGAATAGAGAAGGTAATTTATAAGAACCTCCATTCACACATTTCACTGCTGGCATTTCAAGCAATCTCAGAGATGTCGCTCTACCAGCCAGAACAAGCAATTAGCACACATGCTAGACCTGAAGTCCCTCATCAGGTAGTGTGTTCACAAAACAGAATGCATCTGCAGATTCAGCTTGTTTCTGAATACGGCTGTTACAATCAGATAAGGTCGTGTCTAAAAAAATGTCTCCATACACACAAGTCATATCTTTAAAACTGGCATGCTGAAATGATTAAGGTACATACCAGAGGAAGCATTTTGCATGTTCCTTTAATGAGAGAGAGCAACTGGCCTGTGGTGACTCAAATTCCTTTCCCCTATTCGCTCCCCCCTCCCTTCTTTCTCTCTCTCTCTCTGCTTCTTGTGCTAGGTGTTAATATCTTTATGGCAAAGTCCTGGTCTCCCCTGTATTACTTCCCCTGCAGTCGGATGCCCCAACAATAAAGGCCCCATGACCTATGACCTCTCCAGCTCATGCTTCAGCGCTCACAGGGGGCCCCGGTCTTCAGATCAGTGGCGGGCGTGAAGGGGACCCTAAGCCAAGGAGCAGGGGTTCAATAAAAATTCCCTACAAACGGTGGTCACACCTGCATTCCTAGAGGAGAGCAGCTTCCACCTACTATGTGCCATGCATGAATATCCAAACTGTTAGCACATCTTCAACTTTACATAGATAAAATGTATCAGAAAAAATGTTTTAGACCAAAATCTTCTCAAAACTGTTGTAAAACGTCTTTCATTGGATATTTTTGATGGGAAACCGAGCATTAGTTGTGGTTTAACCTGCTGAGTTTCCATTCAAAGGACAGTTTATTCAAAATTTTAAGGCGTGTGCAAGACGCACTAGTGTAGCGACTTGACGGTTTACAAATCAAATCCCACTTCAACAACAATTCATCTAACATGGTAACTTGCTGACGGATCATTAGCTTCTCTTATTATCTTAATTCTTTTCATTCACACTGCATCATTATTCAGTGATTCAACAGCTAATACATTTAACATTTGTATTAGTAATGCACTTTGCACATTTAATCTCATTTTTTACTTTCATAGATGTATTTTTTGACAATATTTCTGTAGTACCCATGGTACAAGACTCTTTTTTACTCAATTATCTGGGGCGTATTAATTCCTTTCATTAGCATCAAACCTCAGGGGGACGTCCGTCACACTAATCTGAATATCAGGAACCCCTGCTGTGTGTTTCAGTTCAAACATGCCCCTCCAGGCTGCTCAGACACCCCCCTCTTCCTCTCAGCCTGAGGGAGGGAGAGGGATGATGGGGGAGAGTGGGAGAGAGAAAAAGAGAGAGCAATGGATACTCTATACTGCTTTCTCAAAAAGGTGTAAAATGGTGTACACTGACCAACGTTAGCCAAGCTACAGATAAGTTACTATGTGAGTCTAATGTGAGTTTAATTCTGCACGTTCACCTTTTTAATAAATAGAAAAGCTTATTAAGTCAGAAAATAGCATCACAAAAAAAGTGTGGGGGTGACATTTATCAGCCATTTTGAATGACCCATGACTGGCTAAAGAAAATGTAACTCTTTAAAGTCAAGCTCTTTTGACAGGCATTGTGCTGAGACATGTGCTAAACTAGTTAGCATAACAAACCTAGTGTTTCCCGAGCACGAGAGGAAATCCAGCATGCATGTTTAAAGGCTACTCTCCTCCCCCTCACTCGCACAAAAACACAGCTGATAACACCAGACGCTAGGGTGCATCCATGCATACCGCAAACCTGCACAAGGCCACCTCTCAGGCATTACTATCAAAACATCGGCTCTAAGGGCGGTCAGCAGTTAGTCTCGACTTTATCAGCACGCTGCGTCCTGCATGTACTCTAAAATCCTTTACACCAGAGAGTTAACTTGAGGTAAAAGACCTGCTCTGAGGCAGACAAACTTAGATGAAAGCCCAGATTAAACCACATCAAAGAAACTTGGAGGTTTCTGGGGTTTTTTTTGAAAACAAAGCAACTGTAGACAGCGACAAACTGAAATTAAAAAGCTCTCATTGAAGCAGGACTATCTAAAAATACTTAATGGGTTCTGTCGAGCATATGGTTCTATACAAAGTGAGCAATCCTCCTCCATTTGTCAAAATAAATAATGTCCTTGGTCTGAATGGACACGTAGCACAGTGTCCCCCGGGTTAGGCCTGGAGCGGACCTCTAGTGCCCTTCTCAGAGTCCGCACTCAGAAGGCAGGCAGCGCGCAAAGCAACCCAACAATAGCAGCAGCCACGTGAATCAATGAGTCAGGGAAGGGAGGGATGCTTTAAACACGGATCATCAGCAAGGTCATTATTCATTCAGCCCAACGCAATTAATTAATGCCTGCACAGTGCCAACTGCCAGCCAGCCCAAGCAGTGCTTCCTCAAAGACATAAGGCGCTTCATGGACGTCCGAGGGAGGGAACAAAGATTCTGGACTTAAAGAGGCTGTTGTTAAAACAAACAGAACCATGTTTTAAGTGCAGGGGGAAAACACAGAGGGCTTAGTGCTCAGCAGTATAACACTGTTTTTCATCAAACATTACAAGTCCAGGAATGCTACTTAGTTCTAAATGTACACACTGACCGAAAATCTCACAAATGAAAACAAGAGTGCTTATTATTAATAAGTTTAGATTTTAGAACAATGCTGGTATTCCATGCTCTTGTTAAAATGTTGCTGCTATATATATATAAATAAATTTACACACACTATATATATATATATATATATATATATATATATACATATATAAATAAATTTACACACACTATATATATATATATATATATATATATATATATAAATATACATACATATATATATATATATATACACATACATACATACATACACACACACACACACACACACACACACACACACACACACACACACACTAGTACAAGTAAGGAGCATTCAACTCTTTTGTAAATATTGGTGCCTTCTAAGTTTCTAATCTCAATTTCCCACAATGCACTGTATTATTCTGTGGGGGTTAGATTTACGGTACAGATTCTAAACAATGCTACACGCCAACACACTGCCACACAAGCAAGGCCCTGTATCTCATCTGTACGTTATTTTGTTTGGTTGTAAGCAGACATGGCAGTAGCTGATAACACATCTCACTGCACTGCTTTAAGCACTGATAGATGGTTAGTCAGTGTTGCCAGTTTCCTGAGCAGTAAATCTTCCGAAGCTATCTGGCAGTGTGGCCACACCACTGCTCCAATGTCTAATTCTTGCAGCCTTTTAAAAATCCCCCCTTACTTCAGCTGTAGGTCAGGAGGTAGAGGTGACAATACTTAATTGTTATTGTGATAAACAATACGCCTTTCTGAGCACAAATTGAGCATACTTAGTCCTGCTTAACTGTTTAGTGCACTGCAGTATGTGAAACACTGAATACAAATCATTGTAGCTTTTGACTTTTTTTAATGTAACACTACTAATGCCATGTGTATCAATTGTATGTATTGTGAAAATATCCTGAACTACAGAGATACAATGTTGTCACCATATTGCCCACCTCTAGTCAGAGGCACATCTAAAACTACATCCACGCATGCCAGAACAGCTGTAATTGCTAAGCTCTGGAAAGCAGGGGACCTTTGAATTTGTACATGTGAAAGTTGCCTTGGAGACAAACTGAGGGGTCTGTGGGGCCATGGCCTCTTCTGCACACAGCTGTCTGAGCACAATGCAGCTGCTTTGTCACTGAGCACTTTCACAGCACCCAGCACAGCCAGCACCAGTCTGTAGCGTCAACTACAGTGTGAAGATAAATACAAACACCGAACTAACCACATTTAACCAGCCAAGATCATGAGTGCAGGCTATCATTTTATTTCGACAGATACAATGATTCTGACACTCATTCCTAAACGATACCAAATTTGATAGCTGATAAATATACACAAGAGTTTTACCTTTTCGTATTGACAAAGTGGAGCAAATAAAGTACTCCTTTCAATACTACTTATATTGCATGAAATATATTAACAAAATAAATAAGCAAATCATTAATAAAGGCAGACCCTCCCTCCGAAAATATTGCTTACTATTTACCTCAAAATAGAGAGCAGGGATGAAAAGCACACTCCTTATAAATGTATATTACCTCAGAGCAAACATATTAGCCTGCAGCTAGCGCATTATTATAAAATACTGTCCTTTTATAATATCGAATGTTCTTGAAAATGAAAGAGGAAACATTAAAAAATTAACATTAGGCAGATTTCCAGCCACTCTTATTGTTTCTGTATGTAAAAGTATTTGAAATCAAGAAACCACCACATCGTATTGAACCAAATTATGAATGTTGTGAGTTGTTTCACCCCAACAATATATACTGTCTTCATTTTCTTTTTTAAATTAAATACTACTTCAGACCTATTTTACGGTTTTCGATGATGTAACCCGAAACACACTCTAAGACTAATGTTTAAGTTCATGATGTGTAGTTTAGACAGCCAATCATAGCCAACAGATGTCGGAACAAGCATGATTAATGGTTCACTGACTTTGGTATCAAATGACAGACATTTTGCAGCAATTCCTTCAACACTATAAAAGTACGAATTTTGCATAATGGAGCGTCCTTGTAGTGTACAATACTACTGTGGGTGCCATTTCAGCTACAGAACTCAAACTATGAATTCAAACCAACTGGTCAACTTACTTGCTAGGAGCAGGCAGGAAAGAGCTATAATGTAAAGCTGCCTCACAGCTACATCATAGTGGTCCATGAAGAGGTCGAGCAGGTAGACAGCAAGGTGGCGCGCTGTGGGGCACAACTGGTAGCGATTACTGAGGACAGCTAGCAGGTCAGCAAAGTAGCGTCTCATTCCTATTTGGGGGGAATGGGCATGGTATGTGGGCAACTTCAGCTCCTGGAAACAAGGGAGAGAAATAAATAAGTCGGAGAAGATTTACATGTTTTTAAAAATTATTTACATGAAAGGAGCATCAACACTATACAATTAATTTAGAGATGGTATTGATTCAATATCAGGTATCTGCACCAGGCCAGTATCACAAGAAAATGCTGGAAAAAACTGTAACAAATCTAGCCTGAAATAGCTCACATTCACACTGGGTGATGTGACGTTAGCGGACTCTTTGCTGTAGTAAAGTGTTCGAGTAGCTTTAGCATGGCAGCCTAATTTTAGATGCCCATCTTCAATGAAGCAATTCCATTAAAACACAAATTTAAGTTGCAGTATTTTTTAAAGAAATAATACTGTATCAGACAATCCTCAAGGTTCAGTATCAGAAAAAAATATGGTATCATGCCATCTCTAAATTACATTACTCCAAACTCAGACTTTGCAAATAATGTACATTTCTTTATCACATCAGCTAACTAACTAAATCCTGATGGGGAAAAAAAAAAGCAGAGCTTTTTGTTTTGCACATCAGATTAATTCAGACACCACAGGCTAGGTCTACACAATATGAACAAAATATTAGTATTAGATATTGCTAGATGTTGTGATTGCAGTAAGCCCTGATATATATTAAAACACATTGCTGAATCAATAAATGTGACATTTACTTTTGTTGGACAACATGAATTGAAACTCATCTGGAGCTGTTGGTCAAGACGCTCACAGCATACATGGTTAGAGTGCTCATTTGCATACAGCACTGTTCTGTGATATCCATATTGTGAAGGCCAACACTGCGGTAATGATTAACACACCATTTATCATGCAGTTCTACTGAAAACAAATTAAATCCTAACAGAAGCTTAACATGCATAACACAATTCAGTAACACTTCAGCTCCATAAGCTCGCCAGCGATATTCTCTAGCTACTTTATGATGGCTGTTTCAGAAAGAGCTGATTCCTTTGCAGGCCTAGCCGCCATGTCTCCCCAACCATCTGTCCCTCAGGGGGTGAGGGGCTGGGCCCTGACCCTCTCAAGCAGCCCTTTTGTGGAAGCCGTCCGCAATTCAGACAACTCTACAGCTGCTGCTTTCCTTGAATGGCCGTTCAGTTTGTCAACTACACGTCTTCATGCTAAACACGGCCGTAATTCTTAAGATGGTTAGTCTGAAAAATGAGAACGTCTTTTTGATTGGGCAATTTGAAAGAATTTCTAAATAAAATACAATGGCGGAAGCACAGGAAGTAAAACTAGCCTAACCAGTTCAATCATTCATCTTATGCCTTCCCCCGCTTTGTCGCGTTCATTTTCACTAGGTTGCTTCTATCGCAGGAGAGATAGGGAATGGCTGAAATTCTACTTCAAGCACTTTTAACTAACACAAACAAAGAAAAAGTAAACCACTGGAGCCATTAGCCTAGGACAATTAATAGCATATGTACTGTAACCCTAGTTACAATGCTGCAGAGCATACAGTCGTATGCAAAACTTTAAACACCCCTGGACAAATGTCATGTTTTGGTGATCTTTTAAGTGAAAATTAATTAACTCATCTTTTACAGTGAGCAACTCTAAATATGGCATTTTCTAATTTTAGCTTATAATTATAATTTATCTGCTGAGTTTAAAATATTGGAAAAATAAAACATTACATATATTAATATGGCATAACTTTTGCACAGGCCACATTTTATGTTTCAGTTTATCCCCCAAATATCAAATAAACTATAATAATGTAATTTTGCATTTAAATGTGCAGAGATGTGTTCTCTGTAGAGGATATGTGCTCATTTTCACTTAAAGATAAAAATAAAGGTGTCAGGCTGAGCAGACATGTTATATTAACCAGTATTTGAAAGGAGCTGTCTGTCATTACAGCGACGTGTAAACAGGCTGGTAAACCCAACCAATTCAGCAACAGGGGAAGGAAATAAAGACAGTATCCACAGAGAAGCGCGGTGGGGTGGAGAGGGGGGGCGTCTATGCAAAACAGGGAGCGAACCTTCGCTGATTTATGCAATGATTAATTCCATAAAATATTTTTGCATTCCATTACTGAGTAATGTGCACAAGAGCACACAAAGGGATTAGTCTTATGTGCTAATACAGCAACAATGAGGCTTGTGTACATTTCCACAAAAATCTTTATTCCAACAGCTGTGTAGCTTTAATTCTGTGTAAAACTCAAACTTACTAAAGTGCTGCAATGGTGAAGGAGGGAACGTAAACCTTTTGGAAAAAGCTAACAATAACTTTTATTAACAAAAAGATTTAACGTATTTAAAGTAATATTCAAAGTAAGTAAAACACACTACAAAGAATTTGCATCTGTTTATACTCTATTTTTCCACATGACATGCTGTATCTGCCTAGCAGCACTGCTCTTTTTTACTGATTTCCATGAGGTCGCAATAGAGGTTTTTACAGGCAAAATATAAAACTCCTTGCTTACCAAAGATGTGCGAGACATGGTACATCAGAGCTTGAGTGGAAACATACCCAGCTCAAACCTCATAAAATGAAATTGAACTGCAGCTAGAGTTTTCATTATTTCAATTCCTTCATATCTACACTGAAGACTAGTGGTTTCATAATTGAACATACATCATACATGGCCTGTAACTTTGGACTCTATAGCTTCCAGTGAAGCTTTATTAGTGAAGGAAACCCACAACTGTCTGGACGCAGCCATCAAAATACAAATGTATCCAGTACGGGAAATACACAGATGGATTACCAGCTTTCTGATACACAGACCTCTCTCTCTTTGCCACTCTTTGACAGTAACAGAAAGACATTTATTTGGCGTTAGATACAATTAGCAGCAACGATGAACCTTGATGCCTTCTTGTGAATAGTCAAACTCAAGTACAAACAAACACAAGCAGAACACTTCCACTTCACATTCCTAACCGGATGTGGGCTAAGATATACAGCCCCCCATAAACAGGTCAGACAATAAGAGAACGACATGCACATACACTTCAAGGACAACAGGCCAGACTGAGCAAATGCACTTATCCTCCTACACACCGCTCTTCGCAGTTCCCCTCAGCCTGTCGGCACACAGCAAACTCCTCCTCTAGTCCAGCTGGCTCAGGTCTACTAAAGTCATTTCCCAGATCTCACACATAACAGACATAATTTGTGCAAGAAAGGCAGCTATTTAACTACTAGTAAGTGTTAAATAAGTGTACTTTCTCTATATCCTACTGATGCTCAATGATGCCATTATTTGCTTAAAAATAGTTTCTAACAGATAATCAGTATTGCAAACCCAAAACTTAATGGCATATTTATTGTACTCTAGTAGATTAGAAACTTCAGGCGAACACAAGGTGGATACATTTTACTGCATTTTGCTGCTGTCAGAACAAAACATTGTATCTCCAAAAAGGTAACTTTATAGGATGAGGAAAAACATTCTTAACTTTTAATGGAAGTAAATAGAGAAATATATTTTTCCCCAAGTAATTTAACCATTTCTGTTGGTCTGTTCATTACTAAATTTGAAAAAACATTAAATTATGAGGAAAAAAAAAAACATGCAAATACAAGGTTTTGTCATTTATAACTCTAAAAAAATACATTTTATTTTTAATGCCAACCCAGGCAGATGTAGGTCTAATTTCCACATTTATATGTTCATGTATTTCTCATGCAGATACAGGATCTCAGAATTGGCATGTAATTCCTAGTGCATTCCTAACCTAAAGAAACGGTGAGAGAGACAAACTCCTTTTAACGGTACCATTACTGAGGATTACTGCAGGGCAGAAACACCATCCACCGGTCAGATGGAGAAGACTGGAGGGATGTTTTCTAAAGGACATGTGACATTTCACACCTTTGCTTCAAAGATTGCTGAAAATCAGACCACTCTGATGTGTTCTGACTTAATCGGAGACAAAAGAGTGAAAAAATGCAGCTGGACAAATAAAAGGACGGACAGAAGAACGCATGGATGGCAGTTTTGCGGGTGAACAAAGTTTAAGCCAAGAAAACTCACCTTAATTCTCAAAGCCTGATGGATGTCTGCTGCGAGCTGGCTCTTCCACCACTGTCCCTCTGGCTCCATCTTTCCCATCCAGAAAGGCCCGTCGCCTAGAATAAAACACAAAAACTAGTCATTGTTTCTGGAACACAAAGGCATATGAGCTCAACACAGAGCTACCAGCCTGCTTCCCCATAAAACTTAACATACACATTACCATTTTAAAATTCTTAAAAGAGGTTTTCTTTTGTTAAATCCTTAACAAAAAAGAACAACAGTAATACTATAATAAACCCAGGTTTTATGTAATGCTGTGTAACGTCTATTACAACCTAGAACGTTTTTCTTATATTTTATATTATATCCGTAGCTATATTACTTCTGTACAGTCGTGTAGTGTTTCACAACAATACTGGTGTAGTGTTAACACTGAACTACAGTAGGTTATTTAAAATCCTGTATATTCCTGTAACATTACTACAAACCTTTTTTCAATGAGGGAAAATGAAGTCTACTCGAGCTGCAGCCACAGCAGCTTTAGCTCACACCGGTGAGAGTTCACAAAGTTGCTGAACGCAGTGACTCAGGCTCGGCTACACTATAACCCGGCCTGTATGTATCTGTGTCTTGTTGCCATCACGCCACATTACTTTTCCCCCTCATATAACACCGCCTTAGTCAGCTAACAGCCATTCACTCGTTTGAAGACACAGCAACGTTAGCAAGTTTTGCAGTAAAAGCGAGCACCGCACCAGATTTCAAAATTAAAGAGCCAGAGGTGAACCAGCCGCTACCACGAGTCCCGTATTAAAGCCACAGCGCTACGAAGTCGGCAGAGTTGTGGCTCAAAACACAACTTAAACTCGACAACTAACAGTCCTCCAACTTCACAGAGTGTGAAGCAGAACAAACCATCATTGAAAAACGCGAGAAACGCTCAGTTTGAGCGAGCTTTACCTCACAGCCCGTGTCTTTCCACCGAAGAGACCACGACGCTCCAGACCCCCTTTGTTTCAGAATTGGTGCATTCTGTGTATCCTTCGGACGAATGAGCACCTTTCATTCGCGGAGAAAAGAAAGCCTGGCCGAGCTTCTCTTCATGTACCTCATACACACTGCGATGTGGAGGAGTTTTTCCTCGCTGCCGAGCGTGTTTTCTGATAAGTCTGACTTATTAGAGAGACGAGTGTGTTGTTTTTTTTTTCCTCGTCGTCCCGTGTGGCTTCCCCCAGTGGCCAGAGCGGACACCCTAATGAGACTGCAGTGAGAGGCAGAGTGATTGGGCAGAACGGGGAGGAGTCCAGGGCCACTAACGTACACACAGGCGCCCTTAAGCCCGCACGAAGGGCTGAAGTTGAATTCTTATTCGAATTTTCCGGTCCACCTTAAATGGTGCAGCGGCTACAACCTGGCGCCAGTAGAGCCTGAATGTAACTGCTGCATCATTTAAGGTGGAACGAGGAATTCGAAGAAGTCGTCAACTTCAGACTCATAAAACATAAACTACAGCTATAGTTATTTCTCTTATATCTCCTGTCCTGTTGTATTATCCAATCGATGGACGATGAATTCCACTATAATGTTGACACATTTTTATTATTGTGTGTATTTTGTGTTACTCCACAATCTTAATTTCCCAGTAACGTCTATAGTGACTCCAATAACACCGTATCAGCTATCTGATTATAACGTACTTCGCGAGCTGAAAGTAAGCTATTTAGCTTGTACTGTTTACTAGCATGTGCGTTTGGTTGAATGGAGTTAAACAATAGTGACCGTTTTCAAATTAAGAGCCCCGGCATTTAATGCGCTTTATCGCTGGTTGACCACCAGATGGACCCTGACACTCGTTACTCAACCCAAAGGTACATATCTTACACAGCGTGGGCAATAATGTATAATCCCAACGAAATGAAAACGGTCCCAAAACTTCTCACCAGCAAACTGAGGTCAAATTGCGCTCTTAATCTAATTTTATAATGATTTTTTCGTATTCTAAAGATTTAAGAACTTTTAGGTCGAGCAGTCCGATAGTCTACGTATAGGCCCATCAGCTACGTGTCCCTCATCTGGTTGCCAGCGGAAATTTACCAAAGTGGATATGTATGCACAGTTTGACTTTTAGATTTGAGTCCTGCAGATAATATAAAAAATATGCAATATTCAACAATTTATATACAAATTATACGATTTATAGTTTCACATAGCACGAAAAAGAACGACTGACAAAGCATCTTGTCACAGAGGAGTACATTCCTTTGTTGTTCAAATAACTTGTTTGCAGTTTATGTTTAAAGATTGTGTAGTATTATTAACTTTTGGACATATAATACCCCTTTCACTCAACTTAGCACCCCAGGTTTAGTGGTCTCCTGTGATCTGCTCAAAGGGTGTTATGCACATCTGAGACATCCAGAGTGCTCATGTGCAATGATACCAATGGGTTCATATTCATACAGCCCATTATATCATGCTGTTAAAACATTTACCTCTGCCAAAACCAATTGGTCCACATGCTTTAGCTGTCATGGCATGCATTTCATTCTGCGAAGGTCTCAGAGCAGACTGGCATAACACAATAAACTCGCAGTTTATGCACATCTTTACCAGGTAAAATCATGCAGTATTCCAAAATCAACTTCAGGAACCATTTCAGTTAGTTTAGATCCACTAAAAATATGTACTGGGTGGTAGGGCAGAACCAACGACACCCATATTACCACTCTATTTAGAGTGACTATTTAGAAATCCGGTACTTCCCAGCGCTTTCCATAGAGTCCTAGCCCTATCTCTCTGATGATAGTGTTATGGGGCTGAGGGAGCTATATTTAGCTGGCCCTGTGACTGCACTGGCCATGCTAGCTGGATTCCAGAGGCAAGCTCCAGCTCAGCCGGACCAGCACCTGCTGTCAAAGCTAACTGCCACACCACCACCTAAACTCCTCCTGGGCCTGGACCCCATAAACTGGGCCAACTCTCAGCAGCTAAAAAGTAAGGTCTGATTCATCTCATTTGCAGCTCTTGTTTTAACACAGGCTATAAGAGGGTACTTGACCTAATTTCTTGTTGTAGCTCTATATGCAAAGTTATCTAAAGGTGCATGACAAGTTTATAGTTTTTCTATGTCATTTTTTTCAGTCCATGACAGGATTCAATTCAAGCTGGTTTGAAGACTTGCACCAGGTGGGTATCTTGGATCAGGTGAGAGCTTTAGAACTGGCCTGGGGGCAGGACAGCTTCATGTACAGTAACTGTAGCTGTCACCCTGGAACATCCAGAGTCAATCACAAACACTGGAAGAGCAGTCTATGCTTTCAGGGACCATGGGACCATACAGTGCACTCTCTCTTTAAACAGTGTAAAAGTAACAAGTGCAATAAAATTAAGGTAAACTAAGTTTGTCCAGAATTATAAAACTAACCTAAGTAGTTGGAAGGTATCTTTCTTTTAAGATGTTTCAAGAGTGGAATTGTGATGTGTATTTTGTCTTTTTTTCCCTATCTTCCCTGAACTCATGGCCACATAAGGTAGCATGTGACCTACTGTATGAGTGCTGGGCTGGATGTGACACCTCTGTCTCAGGCCCACAACCCTCACAGTACTGAGCATCTGACCCACCTTATAGGAAAGCTGCCTGCCTGTTCTACTGTGCTACAACAAAGAAATTCATTCAGTTTTTCCTAGTCTTTTAGGGCTACCAGCCTACACATTATGTTAAAGATAACCTTTCCAAATGACATTTTGAATGATGTGACGCCCTTGTCCTCTACTTCGAAGGCCAATGAGCTTCCAACACAAATAGATGAGGAGGAGAGTATCTCAGTGCTGGCTGATGATGCCTTGGATGACTCATCAAGTTCATATTGCACTGCCCTTTGCTCTCTTAGTGAGTATAGTGAGGCTTTGGAGGATGAGGCACACATGCTTTATGCCCAGCCACAATGCGAGGCTACGTCATCTGAACTTACACTCTGTGTAGATCCATCAGAAGAAACAAGCTGCTCACCTGAGATTAATGTCTTGTTGCAAGAGCTCAGATCAAAGGAGAATGAAGATAATGGAGCTTCAGAGAACAAAAGTGAAGAATCCCTTTGTGGACAGGATGAAGCCTCTTTGTCTGTCACTGATCCTCTTTTGTTAGAATCAAAACCTTTTCAATCAAGTGCTAAAATAACAATTCTAAACCTGAATCCAACAAATAGCAATACTGTGTATGCTGAACAAGACAGTCCTCATTCACTAAACATATCTAGGAAAGATTCTTTATCGAAACCATGGAATTATTTCAGACGAAATAATCAAAATGCTCAAACTGATACTAAGCTTGATGAGAGCCTCAGCACTCCGCAACCCAGACTCGCCCCAGCTTTAACTGAAGAACACCAATATAAGCTACATGAAGCTTCTTTATCTGGCACAGATACTCTCTTGGTAGGAACTAAATGTTTATCATCAAGTCTTAAAATACAACTTCAAAATCTTAATACTACAACCACAGACTCTGTAGATACTGGGACAAATACAGCTCAACCATTTAACTCATCCAGCACAGATTCTATACTGAAAACATGGAATAACTTTGGGAACGGCAAGACTACTGCTCAAGCTGATACCAAACATGTTGAGAAATCTGACTGCCTGGAATCCAGATTAACCTCCAACATTGTTTTGACCACAAGTGAAGGAAATCAATATAGCCAGGAAGTGTGGCAAGAACAAACTGGCACTAAGCCAGAAGAAGACCCGCCAACACATCAGCAAAGCTTGACAGAGAGTCCCAATAAGCTCAGTGCTGAGGATAAGCTTGAAGGAGGCGGGTTTATCATTGGTCCTATGAAATGGGAGGGGGCAGAGCAGGGTATAGGGGTTGAAAAGGAGCAGGCAGAGCTGTCACTCAAAGCTAGAAATAGAAAACCGCCTGCAAGCTGCATCTCAACCCTCACAGCCAACAAGCAGAAGTCAGGAATCCCGCCACACTGTTATTCAGAGCGTATCCTCGCAACTGGGCACCAACACCAGCCACGGAGCCCTCCTGTTCCTTGGAGGTGGCAAAAGCAGAGCCGACAAGGTGTCTTGCTGTCAAGTTCGCTTCCCCCAAAACCCTGCGGCAGCTCCAGGCAACACTGCAGCACTGTAGACAATACCAAAGGAGCGTACAGCATGGCAACAAAGCTAGCCGAGACAAACACTGAAGTGAGGCGCCTCGCCACTCTGGACCACACAAGATCCTTATGTCCTGAAGCAAACTACTTGGACGTTTTCAACTCCAGCTGCTGGTCCTCAGATGGAGCCTTCCATGATTGGTCCTTCAACTTGCCTACAACATCAACAAACAACCATAACACTTCAGCTTGCTCAGAGGCTAGCAGTTTTGAATGCATTGATGTGGCCTTGGAAAACCAGGAAGAGCTGAACAGAGGGGCAAAGACTGTACCAAAGAGACAAATTCAACTGAAAAGACGGGATACTGCTGAGCCTCTTACAAATGAAAACAACAGCAGTGGTATCATCCAGGTCCCAGCTACACCCACCCGTCCTCGGGACATCCTCCAGCGTCAGCACAGTACCCCTGCGGCATTTCACCAGGACTCTCATGGATCAGAACCAAAGTCAGCCCAAAATGAGCGAAAGCAACGGTTTCAGAAGTCACTTTCCCTGGATGAAACATCCAGCAAAACGAAAAAGGCTTCCTGCATCATTACAACTGTCCTTTCAAAGAAGATGCAACAAGAAGAGAACCTTCGTGCTCTGGAAGTTTCTGACCGAGCCTTTGCTCCCACAAAAACATATAGCACGACCAGCAACAATGAATGCCTGACCACTTCAGCTAAGGAGGTGTGCACTGAAACTACTAAAGTGAACCTGGCCACAGGTCCTCCCTTAAGTTCTTCCCAAAGTCCTACTCAAAAGACTGACTCACAAACAAAAGTCAGCTCTATTAAAGAACATATGGGCGTTAGCTCCAAAACACAACCCAAACTGATAACAAAACACAGCTTTAATCCTGTACTCAGTAACCTGGGCAGGACTGAGTTTCAGGGCAGTGGTACTGAAATAACCGCCTCTCCAGAAAGTGAGAAAGAGAAGCTGAGCCCCAGTAAGGAGGTGGTACGGCTTACCAGCCAGAGCCCAAGACAGAAGCTATCCTGTGACTCAGCAAAGGGCAAAGCATGGAACTCAAGTGCAGTGATAAGCAGAGCCATCGGCAAACAGGCCTCAGTGAAAACCACACCTGAGGAATGCTGCACAGTGCAGAGAGGCCATAAACAGCACAATATCAAGACTGACCCCAGTACCAGTGCGGACAAGCAAGAGAAACAAGGTGAGAGCAAAGAAAGTACACAATGTCTTGCGATGGCTGGCTGTTTGGCTTATGATCTGGATGCAAGAACAGTGAGTAATGTCCTGTCCCAGCCTACTCAGTGTAGTCCTGTGAAAGAGCAGGAGAGTGATAGTGGAGAGCCCAGGCCACCTGGGCAGCCAGTAAACATGGGTGTTCAAAGCCAGGGAAAATTTAAGGCCATAGCTCCCGTGCATGTGGTAAGGGATATGCGGAGCCTGGTGAAAAACACATACAACCGGTCATTCAGGGGTCCTGGTGAGTTTGAGGATAATATCCATAGTTTTCCACCTGCAACACCTCACCAACTTAGCAGCAAGGGGGAGGACAAGGGAAAGGGATACAAGCAGGACGAAAAGCTACAACTGCGGAAAGTGACTCCACCACTTGCACGGGACAGGATCAGGGATTTGGCCTCTCTTCATACCACTCCCAGAGGATGTGCAACTAAAGCTACCTCTCTCCTGGAACCACATGACAAAACTCCTAGTGCTGGATTTACAAAGGTCAACCCAATTATCGCAGCCGAGGCAAACAGTTGTGCCTTGTCAAAATCTCCAGAGGCAAAGGACAGCCAAACAGCCATCAGCCAAGTGGATGTCCAAGGTAGCAACACAAATTTGAATCAAACAAACAGGGCAGGCATTTCACTACAGACTAACAAGAGGACCTCAACTGAGATATTCAAAAAAGGGCAGTCTGTGGACTCCAGCAACCCAGGATATGAGAAACGCATACTCTCTGAGCATGAAAGGCAACCTCTGGCAGCTGCACTGCAGTATGGTCCACCTGCAGCAAGTTCTGACAAACTAGATAGCTGTAAGCAATTAGAACAGGCATGCTCTACAATCAAAGATGGATGCCAGACCCCAGGCCCACCCCCCAGATCACAAAGTACAGCTGGGCCACCCTCTGCCTGCATCTTAACTGTTGCTCCAACACAAATACTCCCACCATACTTCTACAAACCCAACCCATTGGGCTACCAGACAATCTCTCCTCATATGGGAACAGTTAGCTATGTTCAAGGCCCTGTCTTGGTGCAAACACCATCTCACAACCAGCCTGCTGTGGCAAATGGTCCTGTCCCTTTGATGAGATCGCTATCGGAGGAAGTAAGATTGCTATCTCAGCCATGCCCAACAGATGGAAATGCAGCACAACAAGGCTCATCTAAACAGACAGAGAATGGAGATACCAGACAGAAAATGCCTTCTCCAGATACTCAGCAGTGCACAACTTTTGTTGCAACCCTCGGCGCTGAAGTCGTACAAGGGAGTGCCGGAATGCTGTATCCGGAAGTAGGTGGAGGCTTGGCGCAGAGTCCCCGCCACCTGCTGCTGGACCCTGAAACTGGCCGCTGCTTCTATGTGGACATGCCTCAGCTGCCACAACGCAAAATGCTGTTTGACCCAGAGACCTGCCAATATGTAGAGGTCCTACTGCCACAGCAAACACTTTCCGGCACAGTTATGCCTTCCCCATGTGCCATACCCCTGCCCTCCCTTCATATCCCTGCCATTTACAGTCCACATTGCCTGCCTTATGTCCAGGCACACCCTCAGGTGCTCCAACCACCAGGGCCTTGAGACCTTACAGGACATATGGACTTTATAGTACAACTGAATGCAGGCCTTTTGAACTAGATGACCCACAGACTTTTAATGCTGAACATGAGCTACTTAAAGACTATGAAATATATGAGATTATACACTGCTATCTGAAGAAAAACTATAACAGACAAAATCTTAACTATACAAACTATCTGATCAATATTCCATCTCTGATTAAAAAAAACAAAAAAAAAAAACTACCTCCGGAATTTTCAGCTGACATGGGTGAGTCATGCCATCATTGTATTAATTTTTGCAGGAGCCACATAAAACTATTTAAACACTTAAACGAACAAACATACGCACACAGTTGCTGTACTTGTAAAACACATTTTGGTATGCGTAAGTGTAAGTAAATTTCACTAATCTCACAAATATACCTGTCCTAAATCAGTTTTGCCATTAAAAAAATAGAATGCATTGTTTTTTCATAAACCTTCTAAATGGGTAATATCAAATGTCAGTTACTCACATGCGAATACCCCATGGTCCTTACACGCATATATACATAAATAACCACACATTAAATTTGCAGCATATGTGGGTCATTCTATCATTGTGGTGGTAAACGGGGTATGAATGTTGAGATGTAATTCAAGTGTAAAGCATAATTGTAATGCCACTGACTGTAACACCGCTGACAATAATTACAAAAATCTGAGCTTTTGTCAGTCACTTTATTTTCAGTTACATCATATCTAAAAAAAGCTTTTTTCACATTGTTATTTTATTTCAATTTAAAAATCAGGCCACTGTCAATCTTTTTGCAACACATGAATCTGTTAGTACTTTAGCCCAAATTTATCAGAAATATAAAACTTCTCAGAGTTAGTCCTTCTTCCTTTAAACAAGTCATTCAAAAAGATCTTCCAGTTTTGTAAATGACATTTTATGTTTCTGTAACACCACTGACAGATATCAAAATAAAATTCTCTTTACATATTCAAAATAATTTTAACATAAGACAGACAATAATTTGAATACATTTATACATTTTGAACTGAAAAACAGCATCAGTTCCTTGTTTCAAATACAAATAATCAGTGAAGCCACGGCTATGACATGCTGTTTTTCATGCACAACAAAAATCACTAAAACTCAATCAAAAATAAAAACTATCATAGTTTTGCTGAGTAATTTAAGAATAAAACAAATATTACATATAGATCAACCTTTTGTGCTTTACTTTTTTTTACGCACATTTTCATGGCTGCAAATTTGTGGGACATCATTTGTCACCACAGTGGTAGAATGACCCATGGAATGGGAGAAGAAGCTTAGGTCAACAGAAAATCCCAGGTACATGAAAGTCTTTAACATGTTTAGCATATAATGGATGGGTCACTAATTAAGTGGACAGTCTCTGGAGCTTGAATCAAATCAAATGTACATTATTGACTGTAAACATTGCTAAAAGCACTTTCTTGAAACACTTATTAACAACAAAAAGAATAAGCTGCACAGTGTCATTTTATTTTGAAATAGTTATGTTCATTATAACTATTATATGAGCTGAAATGTTTCATTGGAACTGATCCGCAAAGTATTGTAAAGTATGTACCGGGTCACTTCCCTTTGGTGCCTTGTAGATGTGTTTATTGTTCTCTCTCTGATGCTTCTCCTTACAAGAGGTCTGTAGTCTCACTGAAGGCCTCTCAGCAAATCCCACTGGACTTTTGTAATGAATGAGGTAAATGAGGGGACAGAGATCTGTCTGTGCTTCCTTTAAATCAATGAAAACAGAAACAAAGGGACAGATCCACAGGCCAGTGCCTAAATCAACATAGTATTTAGCTGAAATGCTGCACTGCCCTTAGGCTCTTTTGTACACATACACATACCACTTAACGATTCATTTACTAAGACAAAAGAGAGTGTATATTTTTCACACTTTAGGAGTATGTATGTCAGATATATTGATTCTTATGTTTTAACAATATAACAAGCCTTTTTCTTAAATATCCTACATCACATAGTAGAACTGTGTTCATTTAAATAAATGCTTAACATTGTATTTTTACACTGAGACTTATTGTGTTTGCATCTTAAGTCTTGAAGAATCTGAACCTTTTTTGAGTTTCTGGAAACATTTTGTTTTTTTTGTTGATCACTTGTGAATTTTGTATACAATTAAAGCAAATAAATAAATGCTCACAAACAATTTACGCTCCATTTATTTTAGCCAAATTAATCACCTTCTGCTCAACATCATTCTGAATTAAAAGACCCACTCACAGTTTGCCACAGTGAATATGTGTGTATTTATAATTTAAAGTGTGAATTCAACATTAGTGCTTATAATGCAGTAATAAACACATAACAAATGTCCCTTGGTGGCATTTTTAAAAGTACAATAAATTCGAGCAATAAAGTACATATCTATGGCTATACTTTGGTGGTTACATTTTCTGGAGTGTCCCTCATCACACTTTTAACTTTCTTGAAGTCCTGTTTCTCACACAAGCTGTTTCTGCGCCGGCGTAGCTTAAATCCCTGGAAAGTGGGGCAGATAGGCAGGTAGCGCAGGCAGCCAAGCCGCCTTACCAGCCCCATGCCAACGGGGAAGTTATATGTGTCCGAGTTCACACCAGCCGTAATAAAAGAATCCTCAGCCTTCCACTCTATGAGGCCACGCTCTTTTCTCGTCCCTGTATGCAAACATACAAAAATAGAGTAAAAGTGGCTTAATGACTCATAGGACTTGTTCTATCAAATTTATCAAAGGATATGTTTTGTTGATTTTCTAAGCGAAATTAAGTACACATCCTTTACAAACGAACAAACGTATGCACACTTTAATTCAGTAATTATTGTTTATTTTCTGAAGAAAAGCCATAAAATGTGACCTGCACAAAAGTTAGAGCACATTTTAGATTTTATTATTTTTTTCCCCAATATGTTAAATTTAGCAAATAAATAGAAAATGTGCACTAAAATTTGCAAAGAAATGTCATATCTAAGAGAATATGTCAACTTTTCTCTCTTAGAATATACGCAAAGCGTGTAATTTGACCTAAGCTGTTTAAACTTGGTAAGCTGTATATACCTGGTATGGTGTTGTCCAATAAAAACGCTAAGAATCCTCCAACAAACATTTCCGTAGTCAGGAGCACTGTAAGGATTTGATCCAACTCTGGCATACCTATTGAAATACATTAGCAATCTAGATCAGTATGTTACCATGTACACTGGGTCAATTTTCTTTATAATGCCTCCCATAGAAGGCTACATGGTCTCAGCCAAACACTTAAACGAGAGGTCTTAGACCGCAGACAGACCTGTCTGAATGCTGCCTGGATGAGTTTCCAGATAGTTGGGAAGCATAAGGCCAGAGAACATAGAGAAGCCCAGAACAAAAAGGTTCCGTGAGGAGTTCAGATCCACACTCTGCAGGTTGGACAAACCCACAGCCGTGATCATACCTGTGAAAAATAACAAGATCAACTAAATCAAAGCTCAATCAAAACTGAGTATTGTAACGGACATCAAAAATAATTAAAAAATCAAGCTGAATACAGGCGTCAAACTGGGCCAAACAATCGGAAATTAGTTACGTCGACCCGTAGGTAACCTTAAAGGAAGGTGAAAAATTCCTCTTCGTTTCTGATAACTGATTGAACTGGAGATCTGAATTTGTTTATCAGATTATGTGTAAATGAAGCTAGCTAGCTTGTATTGCATGTAACTTGTGGCTTGGTGATTAGCTAGCTAACAAGCTGTCTATTTAAGGGGAATTTCACTTTTTAAAACGGTTAAGATGTAAACAAAGTCACACAGAGTGGTTTGAAATGCTCCATTCTAGAGAAATGTTCAGTGTCACAATGGTGCACAGTGAGAGGAACAAGACATCTGGAGAGTTTAATTCCTCTGAAATAGGGTGACCCGATGTTCCCGTTTTCCCACTTTTTACTGAATTAAAAACACACCAGAAAGTCCTAAGAAAGACAGAGCAGCAGAGCAGACAGGCAGACGTCTCACACTGTGCTTGCAGGGAGCTGCTACCTACTAACCACTTCTACCAATTATTCACCTAGTTTTAGAGAATTCTGCTGTGTAAAACTCGACCAGAATCTAGCAAGTGTTGCGCGAGTCCATAACATCACCACAAACGTCTTTTCCAGACACAAAGTAACCCAGAAATTAAAAGCAGGGGTAGGGTTACAGTACTACCAGGTGATAGGTAGGTTATCTGATTTGTATGGGCATACAAACTATTTCAATGTAGGCTGCCATGTGATCTACAAATAGTGCATACATTTTTTTTAACTGTGCCACTTTTTCAGCCATCCATGTATGATATGTGGCATATGGTAGGCTACGGTACAATTTTCTGACACAGTTTACAAATTTACACTGTCCCCCCTTTTTTATTTCATTGATAAAAACATTGGATATTTTCATGATATATTGACTGCCAAACTGGAAATGTCCCTGGTTTTCATTTCAGAAATCTGGTCATCTTACTCTACAAGGTAGAGTTGGTAAGTTTTTCCAGATGAACCATTTCAAATCAAAGCACTCTAAATGACTTTATTTACAATTCACTGACTGAATTATATAGACATATTGAAAAATCGCTATTGTAAAACCCATATTGTAAACATGTATTCTAATTACAAATGACATGCGGTGTGCCATCATGCCGCGTGGCTCTACACTGCCTCCAGGTGGACGCAGCTCATTAAAATTCAAAGAGCTTCTTACCGAATAGGGTACAGAACATGCCACCAAGCACTGGATCTGGGAGTGAGGCAAATAGAGCTGTGAACTTGCCAATGGTCCCCAAAACCAACATTATGATTGCACCATACTGCACCACTCGTCTACTGCCCACCTGCACAGGGATCCATGAAACAGGCTCAGATTAATAAAGGTTTTGTCAGCATGCTATTTCAATTTTGGTCATTTTCTTCCAGTTCAGTCTCAGCCTATATCCAGTGTAGTAGACCTCTGCTTTATTACACATTCCTATTAACAGGGAAGATGAAGACCAGCACACAGAAGATGAATAAATTAAAGATCAAGCTTAAAACTGAAGGAACAACATGTGAAAGGGCATTGCAGATACAGTTATATCTGTATATAATCTGTTCCACTCCTGATAACATGTCACATGTTGACACCAAACAAGCAACACGTGAGTTGCTCCATATACGGTACAGCTTGGAATTTAAATGAGAATGAAGACTGGCTGTTCCCACTGCCCACCTTGGTGATGCCAAGCACTCCAATATTAGGACTGGAAGAAGTGGAGCCATTTCCTGTGCCCAGCAGGCCTGCAATAATGCAGCACACGCCCTCTGTGAAGATCCCTCTGAAAAAGAAGAGTCAAATTCATAGCAAGAACTAAGAGGGAACTTTACACTCACAATTTAGAGTTGATAGTAAACAGCATTAGGGCTGTCATTCCGGTGGTACAGCTTTTCTCTGACCTGTTGATGGCATGAACAGGGGGCGGGGGAGCTCCAGAGAGACGGGCACAGGCGTAGTAATCTCCAATAGACTCCACTATGCCAGCTAGAGTGGCACTGAACATTCCCAGCGCGCCAGCTATCGTTATTGTGGGTAAGCCCCACTGACCTGGGGCAGATAACATCCAAAGTGTTAGCATCCAATTTCAGTAGGCCTACTAGTACAGAGCATAATAATCACCCACCAGTATGTGAAAAGCTCTATGTCAACATAAATGTAACAGCTTCAGCTCAACGAAGAACAGTACTCTCCACTATAGATCATCGGCATTCAGGCACACCAGTGAGAATATTTCAGATTATCATTCAATGCAATTGCAAACAAATCATTTATGGACCTATTTAGCAGGGCTTTTTCGTTTGCCCGATTTTCCCCCCAGTTTAGTTACTGCCAATTCAAACCTGCTAGCTAGGTCTTCCCTATCACATAATGGTACCAAGCTGGGAGGGTAGTACATGCTTCCTCTGAGACACGTGAAGCCAGCCATCATTGAGCTACTATGAACAAAATGTCTTTGGACAGCTCAACATGCTTGGAAGAGAATGCCAACTGCCAGTTCAGTTAAATCTACTAACGGACGCCTGCGTTGTGTAGCACTGCTCTAAATGATGTAAGAGGGAATGTGCACCATCCTATCCTGCTAGAGAGAGCTTGGTCTGATGCTGAAAAAATTAAAGTGTACTGAAAAAAAAATTAAAATTTAAGCATTGGTTATCCAGTAAGTCCTGAGTTTATAGATTTTCATTTTTTTCCATTTGCCTTTAATAGAGTGATTGGTAAATCCTATCCTGTAGTTCGGTTGGGGTGCTTTTATACCCAGCCCTTTGTTTTGAACTCCACACTGTGTTCTGGTGCTCACTAAAAAGCTTTCCTTTGCTGAATCAGAAAGCACCTAGATGACACAGAAGCACATGATGAATATATTTTTCACACTCACCACCAAGTTTACAGTTTTTTACTGGCAGAGAAGGTGGAAAAGAGGTTGCATTATACGTCACACCAGCTTGTAAATACGAATACACTTGTAAGTCGAAAAAAGTGGTATTTTCCAGTTACAGACACAACCCCAATGTAGCATAAGGCACTTTTCAAGGGCACTTTTTCTACATCCATATTCACAATATGAGTCTCCCATGCTGAACTTTAAAGATGCTAAAACCTTTGTCCATGTCTTCATTAACATCCAATTTAATATCCTATGGTGTCTCGTTATTGGCATTCCTGCTAAATCTTTATCTTTTTTGAAAATGTGCAAAATAAAACTCTTGCTCTTTCTGTAAAAATCTGCACCACCCCACTTATCTGTCAGTTGAACTGGCTATTTTGTTTGTCCAGTATAAATGTACAAAGCCCAAAATTACTCCTATTCCCCTTTGCCAGTACTTTCAGATCTTTTAATACAAGTCTCCTTACCCTCTCAACTTTCAGACTGTCCATTCTCTAGGGGAGATCTCTGGTCTCCTATTTCAAAGCCCAGCTCAAGTCTTTCCTTCATTCCCAGTACTTTCACTGTCCGTCTCATCCGTTTAGGTTTTAATCAGTTCTCCTGTTTCCGTGTTGATTATATACTATAGGTCTGTCACTGTTTGCTTGTGTGCTTAATTCTGTATGTTTATCTAATACCTATCCTGGTGTAAAGTGTCCTTGACTATGAGAACAGAGAAATAACATTTAAACTAATTATTATAACTTTATTATGACACAATATCACTGAAGATCAGTTCTTGCCTTTAGAATCATGTTTATGGACTTCAGCAAAGCAATATGTAATGCCTTTATGAGTATGCGCTGTGATAAGAGAGGGAGAAGGAGTGCTCACAGGGATAGGGCATGCGGAACCACGGAGCCTGGGACATGATCTCCCCTCTGGCATCAGTGCGAGCCTTGTAGCCATACTTTGATGGGTCACTGGGCAGCACGTCTGTCAGCGTGAGAATATAACACACAAGCCATACGAGCATGATAGCCATGATGATCTGCCAAAAACAAGGCAAACATGCACTGAGGACAACAGAGATTTCATTTAGGACAGCAATGACACGCTCCATACAAGGTCAAAGGGAACTTGGCCACTTGGATGTGGATATCGGCAGGTTTAATTAGAATCCGATATGTGATAAAGTTCAAGCTTCTGCTTATTTAAAGGTTTATAGCAGGGATTTAACTGGGTCAGAGTGACCGAGAACAGATGAGCCCTCATGAGCAAGTTGCTAAGCTAATGCTGGTTCATACCGGAAACATCTTGAATATCTGGAAGCGAGTGGTGTGACAGCCTTTCTGTCTAGAATAAAATGGAAAGGGGAAGGCCCAGTTCCTCAGATACTGAGCGAAGAACACAATGAAGAAGATACACCTGGAGAAACAGAGAACACACACACGCACCACACATGAACAGATGGGCTCATGAAAAATTCATGGTCATCCATGAGAAAAGAACAGCGAAGTTGACATTTAAGATGGATTTCATCATTGCGTATTAGAAATAAATATATTCTGCTTATATAAAAGATATACTACTTGAATGCATAAAAGGGAATTTTTGTATATTTCTACAGAATCTGTGAAAAGTCATTCAGAGTGGTGCAATCTAGTTACTGACTCAGAGGTTTTCTTTTTTTTGTGGTGGTGATGGGAACTAGGGGTTGCAACATCTACACTGTAGATATTTATTGACTATTCAAAAAGACCAGCGAACTGATATGTGTCCTCTGAGTTTTTAAATGTAACACTGATAATGGCTAACATTGGTAACAGTCATTGGTACGCCCTGCATATATCTATCCACCAGGAATGGATTGTAAAGTACACTTGAGCTTAAAACTACCGTAAAACAATGTCTCGCATATCAAGCAGTGTATTTGTAACCCTTTCACGTAACAGTTTTCTGTGATTTTAGAGGTATTAAGCACTTCAGATGTCTGGTTCCCATAACTGCTATAAACAATTCTGACTCATTTTTCTAGAACAGCGTATTTCACATGAAACCAAATTGAAAGACTTTGTTTAAATGACAACTGAATTATGCAGACATTTACAAAAACTGAATTCCCTGTTAGGGCCAGATTCATATGTAGTCATATGCACAGGTTAGAACAACCCCAGTAAAATTACATATTTTGTTAATTTCTAAGTGAAGATAAGGTAACCCATCCTCTACAGGGAACAAACTTAAATATGAGATTGTTTCTGCAAATTGTAGTTCACAATTCTATTTATTGAGTTTGACATATTGGAAAAAGTTACCAAATAAACAGTAATATTTTTGTTAAAATGTGCAGAAGTGTGCTCTTTGCTGAGGATGTGAAAACTTATTTATACTAAGAAAATCAAAAAATGGTCATTTGACCCAGGACGCCCAAACTTTTGCATACAACGGTATATGAAAATGTTTGCACTTCATAACTGACATACATCATATAACTTATCACTTAATCTTATCCTCCTGGCACAAACTATAGTGTATATACTATATACTCTAATAAAAAAGGCAAATCCCTTAAACACAATGAACAATCCATGAAAGTCAGTAGAAAGACAGTAGAATGGTAGATGAAGCTGAAGGCTTAGTGTGCTTACAGCAGAGAGAGGCCCCAGTGGCTGCCTGCTCGCTCTCCTGCAGTCTGAAAGACGGACAGGCCGATGAGGGACACGGTGGGGGTAACAGTCAGTGGCCCGATAGAGTTGAGCAGGAGCCCAGGGAGCCCCACCAACCCAATGACCACCTCTACCAGACTGGACACGATGATGGCCCCCTGAATCTGTAGACCACAGACAAAAAAAATCCAAACAGGACTGTGTGGGATTGCTCAAGGTAGATGTTTCTGATCAGATGTAAATCAGATTCAATTAATGTTAATTCTACTTAAATACTGCTAATTAGCAATAAATATTGTCACAAAGAAGCTATACAGGTCCAAAATCCCAATAAACAAGCTGAAATACACTGTGGCATGTCCCTAATAGCATTAGGATGAAACCTCAAAGAGCTAATTTTTACAGCTAATTTATAACAATAAGGCAGCCTCAAGCCACAGAACCATCGCTATGAAATCACTGCGTGCCAATGCAGCTTTTTTTGAGGAACAGACTGGAATGGAACGTTCTACTGACAGACAAACAACAGGATACAGTAAAATCAATCAAATCTCACTATATTTAATTCCAAAGTTACATCTGCATTCTTCTGGTACCAACACTAACAATGCTATGATTGTAATGATATATATAAAAACAATAATAACAATATAAACAGAGGTTCCCCTCATATGAAATAAGTTATACAGCACCAGTCCAATTACAATAAATGCCATTTATGCAGCAAAAAATGGAAAAGGACAGTGGCTGTGAAAGTGTTTGTTAAATTTGGATTGATGAATGTTGCTTTTGTTCATGTGTTTTAATCACACAACTTACTGGACTGAAACAAAATGGGTTAAACAGCTTTTTTACCACAAGAAATGTAAACTTTAGGTCATATTGCAGCATACTTTTACAGTGTAGTTATGCATGTCTTTGAGTGCCAAATTAAAACATGTAAGTTCCTTCATACATGTCTTATACGTAGTCTTACAGTAACTGCCCACAAATTAAAAGAAGACAGACCACAGAGGGTGCTGCTGATACGACATCCAATTGTTCACTAAGAATGTAAGTTTATGTTTATGGTAATATTTCTTGCACATAAACATTTGGAGTGGGCCTTTAGAAGCAGTGTGATTAATGGGTCATGTACCTACCTCTCTAATCCGGGGGTACCAGATATGAGTGGTGTTGAGAGGAAGGGTCCAGTCTCCATAAATCTCCTCTGCAAAACACAATACCACGCAGCGCTAAACTTACAGGCATGTAGACAACGTAGAGTACAAAACAGAGACACAGTGACTGCTGTAAGTAATGCTGGATAGCATACAGCAAATACCAAATACCTTCAGGAGGACACTTCCACCTCTCCAGTCCTAGAATGGCCTGAGCAGGGATGAGGAAAGCAAATGCACTGGCCTGGAACAGGGGCAACCTGAATATGACGTATATACACACATGAATCAGAGTGATAGACAATAAACTCATCTTTCAGTGCAATGAGGATTACATCTACAAAAAAACAGGGCAGCACTTTGCTCTTCTCAGAAATTTGAGGAGCTTCGACACCAGTAATCCTGACCATTGTCTACAGATCATTAATCAACAGTGTTTTAACATTTAACGTTGTCTCAGGGCATGGAGATCTCTTGGGCAAACAGAAACAAGAAAACAAGATGTCACGGGTCATCAATCAGGCCAAATTCTGAACATAAAGTACTGTGCAGAAGTCTTAAGCAGCAAAGAAAAAAGATTAATCTATCAGATAAAGTCATATGCAAATGTTTTGGCACCCTGGTAAAATGACATTTTTGTTGATTTTCTGAGAGAAAAAAAATACACATCCTCTACAGAGAACACACTTCTGCACATTTTAATGCCCAATTACTGTTTATTTGTTGAATTTTGCATATTGAGGGGAAAAAAGCATAAAATGTGCCCTGTGCAAAAGTACACATTTTATGTTATGTTAAACTCAGCAAATAAACGGAAATTGTGCACTAATATTTGCAGAAAAAAAACGCAGAGAATGCCTTTTCTCTTTATCTTGTCCTTTTGAGCTTTCAATCAAAATATTAGCAAAAATCTTTTTTTGAAGTACAATGACTGAAAAAAACTAACTCTTATCAGAAAATAAATATCTTTCTCAAATGTGTGTGCCACAACTGTTAGCACCCCTTCATTTAACACTTTGTGCAGCCTCCTTTTGCAAAGATAACAGCTCTGAGTCTTCTCCTATAACACTTAATGAAACAGGAGAACACAGGGCAAATGGTCTGAGACCGTTCCTCCATACAGAACCTCTCCAGATCTTTCAGATTCCCAATGTCCACAGTGTGGTCACTGAAGCATTTTTGGGATGTACTTTGGATCATTGTCCTGCTGGAAGATCCTGACTATGACTCAGTTTAAGCTTCCTGGCTGCAGCAGTCAGGTTTTGATTTTATTTCTCCTGGTACCTGATGGAGTCTGTGATGCCATGTATTCGAATAAATTGTCCAGGGCCTTTGGGAGAAAAACAGCCCCACAGTATCACAGATCCACCACCATACTTCACAGTGGGGATGGGGGACTTTTCTGCATGTCTATCTTGTCCACGTCAAACTCACCTTAGGTGTTTGTTGCCAAAATCCTCTGTTTTGGTCTCATCTTACCAAAGAACACGCTCCCCATGAAAGTTCCAGTAACGTTTGACAAACAGCAGGAGCTTGATTTTGGTGGTCTTTGATTGCAGAGGCTTTCTTCTGGCAATCTCCCCAAACAACTTGTGGTTATATGGTTGGTGTTTGATTTCAACTGTCTGGCTCGTTTTTTATAACCATTTCCTGATTCATGCAGCTCAGCAACCTTTTGTCGCACATCACTGCTGTATTCACTGATCTTTCTCCGAGTGATGGATGACTGAGGGACTTTTATGTATTCTCCAGTGAATCAGGAAATCTTGGCTGACCATTCAAGTGCCTAATTGCCTAGGTGAACTTAAAAAACATTAAATATGAATGGGAATATACTTAAGTTAGATTTCAGTCTTAAGGAGTTCTAGGGCTCGCAATAGCAGGCATAGGTTACATAAATTTAACAGAAATATCGCAGTGCAGAGTGCAGAGCAGCACGGTTACCGCCATGGCAGCAGTGAGAGACTTTATTCGTAAATAAGTTGTGTTTAGTTTAATGAAGAGCAGTGTTACATATTAAGAGTTCATTTGCAAAAAAACGATAAACGCCATCCTTCGACAAACGAGCTGTGGTGGGTTATTCATGCGTTTTGTCACAAAACCCGTTATTGTCTAATTTCGAGGAATTACAAGTTCACGTTTTACAGCAGAAACAACCAAACGCCAGTGCTGGTCATCCTGCGGAACCTGATAAATCCGTTCAGCCAATCAGTGTGCAGTATTCGGGTCAGGTGACGCAACGATGCCGCCAACTGTTTTAGGCAAAAACGGCTCTCTTCTCCTTACAAAGAGCAGCACGCAGGTCTTAAAATAATGGCTACAGCATCTAAACAGAGCTGTGTCTAACAAAGAACCACGCTGGATTCAGCCATGTGTGTACAATTCATACTGGACATAAAGTGCCCTGAAACATGAAAAAAACATTGAAGCTTTTGCCAAAAAAAAATAAATAAATAAAAAAATAATAAAATATATATATATATATATATAGATATATATATACATAATATATATATATATATATATATATATTTTTTTTTAAATTAAAAAAATAAAATAAATAAATAAAATCAAAATGCCCAACAGCAGTTAGATGATTTATGAAAATTCAATAAAATGGAGATATCTGTTTTTGCAAATGAACTCTTCATATACAGTATACAGTAGTATGCAAAAGTCATATTGTTTAAGACCATTTATCTTGGCAGTAAATATGCTTTTGCCTGTAAAAACACCAAACACCATTGGAATAGGCAAATAAACATAAATACAGTAAAAAGTAACAAGAATTTCTTATTTTTAAAGTCTTGTGAGCTAGTTTAAAGAACAACATTTGGTTTCAGGAGTCTCCCCCAGCCATTAAATAAACTGTTAAAATTATATCACGAGCACATTTAATTTAACATAACGAAGTACAGATGAACCATGCTTTGGATTCTAATTACAAACAATACAGGAGCTCCTCGAGGTGAGGTTTGGAAAGAGTTTAAAACATTCAATCCAGATTTAGTCATTTTAGATGCTGTTAACAGGCTGCTGATGGAACATTCCAATGGTCAGGAAGAAGGGCTTTCATTTTGTCAGCAGTGACTATTCTCAGTCCATGCTTATTTAAAGGGATTTGAACTAACATAACTAACAGCTATCAGAAGAACACAATACACAATCTCTTATAACTAAACAGCCTCTAGCTCACTCACCTGATTCCAAAGGTGGTCTGTATGAGAGTAGTGATGCCCACACAGGTAAAAATTGTACCAACTAGTTGGCTGACAGTGTACTGGTCACGCCCCACACACATTGAATCAGCTAATAGGAATGGCACAGCGATTGTCCCGCTGAAACACGTCAGGTAGTGCTGGAGAGATAAGAGCAGTTAGAATACTGGGAGTGTAAAAATGCATCAAAGTAGCATCCTGCATTCACTTAAACCCCACAGCGGAGATTCATTAACTAAATTGAGTGCATCAATTTTCCCTTTTTAAGTTATGACACCTTGATTTAGTGGGATTTTGATTTAGAAAAAATGTTTTGTTTGAAAAGTTTTGTTGTTTGTTATTTTTTAATTTATTTTATTATTTTCTTGTATTTTATTTCAAAGCCTGTTTTATTATATTCTATTTTTATTTTGTCTTTTTGTTTATTGTCATACAAGTCTATTTCCTAATCTGCTTTTTTTTGTTTTTTGTTGCTTTTTACCCTCTTGTCTCATTTGGCTGCACTGAAAATGAGGACTGCATGTATGTCAGAATGCATGTAACTAACCCTAAACCTGTAAATTCTTCAGACTCCTGAGTTTTGAGGATAAAGACTTTTGTAGTTTCTGGACACCTGCTCACCCAGCATTTCTTCCGAAATTAAGGGCATTAACAGGCAGGAGCTGGAGCCTATCCCCCACTCACTGGGCAGAAGGCAGGAAAAACAAGTTGCCAACCCATCACAGGCCCAAAATAAATTAAACAAAGCTTGGCTCGGCTCAGCTTTATTGGCTATATGCTACATATTTTAAAAAATAATTCTGAATACCAAAATAATCTATTTGTTGTGAAATCTGAGATTTTATGATGTACTGAATTGAATTAAAACCTCCGATACACGCAAGAGAGGGAAATCAACACTGCCTATTGTTCTTGTACCTGAAGTCCAAGCAGCACACACAAGTACCAGGGTGGTACATCCTCGATTCTGTAGATCATATCGAAGCCAGGTGCCTGAATATGGGCTCCTGTAGGGGGCCTGGACTCCTCACTGGGCTGCTCCTCCACCTCGGCTGGCATGCCGCCATCTAGAGGTGAACACTAGGGAGGACAGCAAACTCATTCAGGCAAACATGGCTATTCATTAGGTTTTCAGTTTTCATTCTTCACTTTAATAATTAACTGTACTCGGTTAGACTGTAACAAGAAGAAAATACTTTCTTACACATTTCATATCACGCTTTGATGGTCAGAGAGTGGCATCTTTTGTTTGAAACATTGACAACGACTTAGGTCAGCTCACTGACCAATCAATGGCATCTTAATCAGACACTAGCTGACATTAGATTCTTTCTAACAACTAATAAAGAACCACTACATAAACAAAGATGAAAAGCAACAGAAAAAAAAACAATAGATGGAATAATACTATATTAATGTAATATTTATTTACATGATTTACACTGCTGTCGAGAAGTCAGAGACCACGCCTCATTTATTTAATTTACAATCAAAACAGCCATAAAGAACAAGTTATTTATTTTTATATCTGAGGAGATATAAATCTGAGGAGATAGATATAAAACATATCCACTTGCCTAAGGAAAGGGAAAGTCAAAGGAAAATAAGTGAAAAACAGGAGTTTCCAAAACTGGAATTTAGAAAAATGATTAAAAGATTTGTAGAAAATGGGACTCCTAACAACCATGCAAGATCTGGTAGACCACCAAAACTGTCACATCAGACAAACATCAGGATATATCAGGAGAATATCAAGCACTACACTTGACTGAAGGTGTTTTGGTTTACTTGGATCATGAGAATCAGAAAAAGCAGTTCCTCACACTGAACTTTGAAGGTTTGGAAAATTTTCTTTGATAAACTGAAAGAGAGTCTCCTAAAAGAATGGGAGTTGTAATGGAGGCAAAGGGTGAAAACACTATCTTCTACTTAATGGCTGTGTAAATGAAGGGTGTTCTGTGACTTTTGCTCTGTATTGTTTATTGCATTTGTGGTGATGTTTATATGGTATTTTTGTGCTGATGTTCCTCCTTAGTAATCAGTGGCTGGGGACCAAAACTGGAACTAATCCTTATCTTAATTTCATATCACATTTCATCAAAGCGCACAGCGCAATGCTGATACACAACGTAACACTTACTAAACAACTTTTTCCTCTTAGTCTGAATATGTTAAACATAAACTACTACTGAGTTCAGTAATTTATTATGAACAAAGACAGGGTTACAGTTTAAATGAACTGGTCCCTGAAATCTGAAGAAAAAAGTTTTGTCCTTACAGTTTTATTACAAGAATTCAGGACAAACAAAAGAGAGATGTGGGAAAAAGTCTTGGCACCAAAGAGTACTGTACTGTGTGCTGTGCATGGCCTTTAGCAAGGACAATTGTCTATGAAAGCTTCTTGTCACCATTACTTACCATCACATTAAGCTGTAATCCAAACTTGCATTTCACTTTTCTTTCTGTTTCAGTTAATTTCGGAAAAGTGGTGAAAACAATAAGGAAGATAGATAAGTTTGACTACACTTAAACCTCACATGTATTTACATAAAAATCAAAAGTCAGTTACAGTAGAGAAAAGTTAGCTCATGTTTAAACATGTATTCTTTCTTAAGGACCTGATACTGGACATCAGAACCAGTAAGCACACAAATGTGCTCCATAATCTCAATAATGGAAATCATGAACTGTGCTCATGCCAAGAGCATGAAGATTCATATCAAATTACAGTGCACTGTGTAAGATTACTGCTCCGTGATAGAGGAACAAACCTGATTTCACAGTTTCACAGTAAACATGCACTTCATGCATTATTGATTTCCTTCACAGAGAGATGACAGAGTATGACAACACAATCTTTCTGTTTATTTATTTTACCTCAGGCTCAGCTGCCATGTCTGTGTGCTTCCTTGGCCCTTCACAGAGGCTGGATGTATGTGTGAGCTCTGCAGGCCCCATGTTGCTGTCGTCGAGAAGCAGCAGCCACGTGCCACCTCATTCTCTGGAGGGCCTCAGGGAGCCAGCTTTATAGAGAAGAGAGAGTATGACTAGATTAGGCAAGTTAATGATCTGTCTCTGGTTGGACTTTACTCACCTGTGCTCATCAGCTCACCACCTTCTAAGAAAGCAAAATTTACAAAGTGGCAGGAGATTCTTTAGGAGCAAGAACGAGAAAAACAGGACAAGTGACAAAGCACGAGGTTTGATTTTAAGCCAAAGCCTTAATGTAGTTATCTGGGCGGTAATGATTGGCTTGGGGGGGTGGGAGTGTCAGAAAGTTTTGATTAAGTTGTTTCATAGGCATGATCAACTTCTTCCTTTTACAGTGAAGACTTGGGGAAGTATCATGGTGGTTGACCACAAGAAAGACATCAAAAGGGACTTATGAAACTTATGAACTTATGAAAACAACACAGTACATTTGAAGAAAAAAATGAGACATACAAAAAATGTGGGAGAGATTTGAGCCGTCATTCAGATGAGTTTTCAATGCGTTTTAAATGCATTAGTATTAAGTACACTGTATTCAGTATAACCTATGACCCAGCGACGGTTAAATGCGATTACATCAACCTTCACACCCACATTAAATAGACCTAAGAACAAGTCCATTATCAGGCCTGATGAGAGAGATGAGGATTACGCAAGTTTGGCGTAAAAGTAGAGGTTCCCATTCGTGGTCTTAGAGAACGCCTGTCCTGCACAGCGTGGAGTTTTTATACTCTTTCACTCCCACTCAGGAAGAGCTTGTTAATGAGTTGAGTTTATAGCTGGGACACACTAAAATATGCAGTGCAGGGAAGCTCCAAGACCATGGCCTAAAGTATGTGTTATACTGCAGCCAGCAGAGGGAGCTGCATGCTAACATTTGACCTGGGAAGCCACCATGAGGTCAGATCACCACAATTATGCATGACTCAGGGTCATTACAATCAAGGGGGGTTCAAACCTCTTAGCAGCCTGGATCTAATGTAATTACAATGTAAAGAGAACATGCTGTAGAGTCTGAAAGCAAAAACCATGGAGTGCCTCATAGGGTGGGATGGAGATGACTTCACTCTATTACAAAACATCATATTCAGAATACATTCCTGCTGTAGATGGATGTGTATCTACATGCTGTGCTCACATGTGTACACAGTGAAGACTGACGACAATTAATCACACAAAAGTGTGTATGAGTAACACAAACAAATACACACACACACCCCTATAGTCTCAGAGCATCTGGAGAAAAAAATGAAAATGAAAAATGAAAACTCAGTGGAGAGAAGAACAGTATCCAATATATAAGAAAATCTTACAGAGCAGATTTGACACAAAGGAAAAGCCATGGACAAGGAGAGAGGATGAACAATATTCTTGTAACCAGAGATAATAAACAAGCTGGATATTGTTTAAGGCACATGAAGTTTGGGATATGGTGCAGCAGTTAATTGTGGCTGTCATTTTTTAAGCCTGTAAAACACTATGTAACATTGGAAAAATAAGAATAAACATGAATGCAGTACAAAGTAACAGCTTTGTTTTCAAAAAAGTAGTTGATATTTTATGAGCTGTTAATTCTGGTTTGCACAAATTTGTTAAATCTATCCATCACCATCACACCTGATTTCATTTAATGACGTATTGATTAGCTGAACTAGACAAGAGGTTTGGAAATTGTTAACACATTAACATATCGCTGCTGTCAAACCAAACCTCCTATCTCCAAAATGAGAACTTTACAGGAGAAGGAAAAAAAAACATGCCTTGCTTTTAATGTAAGTCAATGGAACAAGACATTTTACCCAAGCCATGTTGGGCCATTTCGTTTAGCCTATTTATCTTGAAATTTACACACAATGTAAAAGGCAACCGGTACTTTCAGATTATGACAAAAACTCAAAATTGACAAAAATTGAGATATACAATGTTTTGTTCTGATAGCAGTGACATACAAGTATTTATTCTAATATTTGTGTTTGTCTGAGCACTGTTTATATATATATATATATATATATATATACATACACACTTCATGATTTTGACACAATGTAAAGGACAGATGACAACTTCATATTATTTAAAAAAATTTAAAACCCACACAAATGTAATGTTTTCCAACAATAACTTATACAGTGTATATACTATATATATTTTAAGATGGTGAAATACTATAAGCTATACTATACTATATATATTTTACATTTTAATGTTCTTGGGGAACACCAAAAAGTTAATAAATGATATTCTGTTTGATATATTTGATCACCACTTTTCAAATACAAGCCATTTTGGATTTTAATTTTGGTATAACTTTAATCTCAATGATATACAGCTTTCTCAGTCATTGTGGAATAATCTGCAGCTCTGTTCATCATTCTATACACATCTAAAACAAGTAGAAGCATCATAATATAATCAGAGATACACATGTAACTGCAAAAAAAAGGTTTATACTGTAAAACATGATTCTGAACTTTTGAATGGCGCTGTAGATGTGTATACACAAGCGTGTATACGTAAATGAGGAAGACTGTGTGGAAATGTGTCTGTGACGTCATAATGAGACTATTTTGCAAATTATGGTAGTTCCGTATGGGGATGGGGAGAGAAAGGGGGGAGTGGGAGGCGGATGGGTAAGGAGAGGGAGGGAGGGAGAGAGAGTGAGGGAGAGAGAGAGGGGGAGAGAGAGAGAGAGAGAGAGGAAAGAGGGGCTGGGTGGAGGGGAGGCTGGAAGGGACACAACAGGAAACCACTGATATAAAAAGCACAAACAGAAATTCCCCAAAACAAACATGCCACAGACAGTAAACGTTGGTCAATTCATTACACAGCACTGATACTATCTAAATTACTGTCTGTCACACGCACAGTCAATGAAATCCACAAACTGCAGCAGTCATTTCAACATTCACCTTTAATACCACACTAATGCCAGGTTAAATAAAGCACATTTACAACACAGTGTAAAAGGAAACAAGAGTTCATAACAAAGTGTTCCAGAACAGTCAGATCATACAGACAGCAATGGCTAATACAGCTGACCTAAATATCATACCCATTCTCTTCCAGTCACACTGGCTTCATTCTGAAGAACAATGATCTGTGTTCTGTTCCTGGAGGTACTTGTGTATCTCCAGATATATGTAAAACATGTAAACCAGTAGCATGGTGTGTAAAGGTGAAAACAGAGAGCCATGTGTGTTTGCGGTTTATTGGGCCCGCCTGGACATTAACATTTCTCGGATGTTGTCCTCTGCGTCCTTCACACTGCGCTCCAGATACGTCTTCTTTTGCTGCAAAGAGAACAACTACAGCAGCTAACAATGATCAGTTAGAATGAATAAATTGTTAACTTATTTTCACTTAGAATATCAACAAAACGTAATTTGACCAGGAGAGCCCAGAGACGCTTTTGCATACATTTAAAATGTGGTGACAAATTTCAGGGGGACAATTTATCAAGAAAATACTATAAATAAATAGTTACAGTATATCATTTATTACTCAATATTCCAAAACACTTGAAATACTGAATATACATCTTGAAACTGAATAAAATTGCAGCATTTAATAATATGACATGTGATTTCAAACATTTAACGGCTAGAGTATACATGATCAGACTAACCCTAAACCTAATTCTAACCTTCACTGCAGCAACCAAAAAATGGTTTTGAAAGGTCAGGACCACTATGCCATACATGACGGAGGTCCTGACGAAAACAGGTTAGCCCTGTTTTTCTCTGGTTTTCTTACAAAGTGAAAATACTTCTGTCCTATATGAATATATGAATGCACCTTATGACAAATTTGTCAGTCACTCTTGTACCACCCTTAAATGAGTTTTAAATTTCAGATTAAAAATCTCTTTTAAATTCACACATATAAACATTCACCAAGTGATGAATCAGCAGTTGGAAGCCGAACCAATGAGCATTTACATGCACTTGGGTAATCACATAATGGGAAACTCCAGATCAACATGAGTCCGGCAGTAATCAGAGGTCTGCTTTGCAACCAACCAGCCAATAAACTCACAGAATAAGATGTAACATAAATAAAACATATATATCAAACGTCATGCTGCGGCTTTTTTTCTTAAACATCACTATTAGCAAAAAATACGATTATACACCATCCAGAAGATGAAGAATATTTAAATTCTTCATTTATTCAAGCATGTATTTGGTTTCAGCATCACTCCACAAGCGTTTTGTTGCCATCTTGTGGGAGCGTTAAACCCTGCAGGCTGTTTTCACACATGCACAGACTGAGAAAAGTGAAAGAAATCAGAGTAAGGGTATACGTGCACTGAAAAACCAGATTACCAAGCTAAAATCCAGCTCTCTTTATCAGATTTCTATATCAGATTGCTAAGCCTTAATCTGATCTAAGAAAACAGTATGCTGTTTCCGTAACCACTTGAATAACGAGATAACCACAGAAGTCTGACTACTTCTAATTATTAAGGCATGTAAATGCACTCAATGTGGTGTAAATCATTTCCTCTTTTCAGCTGAAGAATGAACAAATAGGAACTGATAGTTTTAGGTCTTCTGTGAAGGCAACCTAACTCATGAGGACAGAGGTGGAAAGTGTGGGGGGATGTGTCAGAATGTGATCATCCCACCTGTATACCTGACTAGGTGCTGAGTGTGTGGCTGAGGTACAGTGGTGTTGGGAAACAGGCTGCTACCTGAAACCTTCCAACAAACTTTTTATAAGAATTCACACACTAACACGTTGCAGGTCGTCTCTGTCTCGCAGGCACTTTGACCACATGTACTGCATCACTTACATCAACAAAACCAATTCCACAAGGCATGAGTAATATCTTTGACAAACATCTCTCTGGGCTACTGCTCTGCTTTACATGTATGGGAGCTGTGGGCCGATGCCAGTACCTGACACACTTACTGTGCATATCTCCCAATGCCAAAACGTAAACAGGGTGTGGGGTGATGGGGTGGTGGGTGTAAGGGTTCATAGTGGGCTGGTGATGGCAGTTGGTCAAAAAAGTCAGTAAAAAAAAAAAAAATAAAATAAAAATAAATAAATAAATAAAAGACTTACCAATATGTCATTAGCGATAAGTGATAAATACGTTGAGAACCTCAGGCTTAAATATTCTGCTTTTCTAGAGTTCAGTAAAGTTGTCAAATATTGGTTTGATTTATCAGTCAAATCTAAATGTCTGTCTGATGGCAATATTTTG